TTTTGAAGTGGACTCTCACTCAGACTGGAGTGCAGTGGCATGATCTCGGCTCACTGCAACCTCCACCTCCTGAGTTCAAATGATTCTCCTGCCTCAGCCTCCCAAGTAGCAGAGATCACAGGCTCGTGCCACCTCGTCTGGCTAATTTTTGTATTTTTAGTAGAGATGGAGTTTCACTCTGTTGACCAGGCTGGTCTTGAACTCCTGACCTCAAGTGATCCACCTGCCTTAGCCTCCCAAAGTGCTGGGATTATAGGTGTGAGCCACCACCCCCAGCCTGAGACTTTTTATATGTCCTACATTCTAGATAGCTTTTCTGATTGATCTGTAGCTGAGTTATATCTTGTAAACTATTAACTCCTAACCTCAAGTGATCCGCCCACCTCTGCCTCCCAAAGTGCTGGGATTACAGGCATAAGCCACCGTGCCCAGCCTGCCCAGCTAATTTTTTATTTTTTTGCAGAGAAGGCGGTCTCCATACGTTGCCCAGGCAAGTCTCGAACTCCTGGCCTCAAGTAATCCTCCTACCTCAGCCCTCCAAAGTACAGGGATTACAGGCTTGAAGCACCATGCCCAGCCAGTTTGTCACATTTTTAACCTTGGAAATTCAACTTTTTATATGCTTGTTTTCTAACCTCCTTGGTTGGTATATGTTTTGTAAGGGCCAGGTCTGCAGTATATTGATCATTATAAATAGTGACTCTCCCTTATCTAGCATGGTGCACTTATATAGATGATAAGTAAATAATAGTTTAGTTCTCTCCTGAAGCTGTAGGAAAAAAACCTCTTCTCCCTTCAGTCATTTTATAAAAGTTAAATAAGTTGAAGGTGACCAATCACAGGAGTTTCAGCAGTGATAGTTCAGTACCTTAAACAAGAAGAAGAAAACCCGCATTTTTCACTTACTTATTTTGATCGGTTACATTGAATTAAAAGTCCTTGTAATGATCAGGAAGATGTTTAACAGGCTAAGTTAACCACTGCAAATGTAATGGGCAAGTGATGTTCAAATTTCTTGATGTGACTTTAAAGCAGTTCTCATACAAAAAGAGAAATAACCAGTTAAGAAAAACTAAAAGAACTTTCTTAAGTAATCATGATCCTGTTTAAGTATATAATCTATCAAACTATTAGTTAATCATAAAAGGAAAAGGACTTTTCTCCCCTTGCCCCCCCCCTTTCTTTTAGAGTTAATCAGATATAATCATGATTGTGTCAAAAGTTCAAAAGGGAAAATGGAAGGTAAAATGAGCTGAATTGGCACTGTTCTCTCAACATTGTACCTGTAAGCTTGATATGTTGTTTCAGAGATTAACTTTATAGACTTCCGTACCCAGAAGTATGAAAATTCTTAGGGGACTCTTTTCACAAGCTTGATCTTAACATATTGAATAAAGAGAGCAGTTAATCCCCTTTGTAAAGTAATTTGAGAGGAGGGAATTCAGAATGTAAAATCTCACCTGCAGAAAACACTCAACTCTGTAAAGGCCTTTCTATCTTTAGACACTTATAAAGACTTAATATTTTAATGCGGAAGGGTGAACTTGGTTAAAAAGCCAATAGGTGAAATCAGAGAGAAATAATCCAGTGCTTTCTTTCTGGGAATTATCATTCTGCTCTCCAGGGGACCTAATTTTATTCCCTGTGGGGAATGAGAATACCCTCTGTACAACAAGCCAGCATCTTTAAATACAAGCTTGACTTTTAGTATAATAAGAGTCTTGTTAGGTGCAATTTTTTCCTTAGTCATTAATACAATGAACAAATGTTGTGGTTACCTGGGAAAGAAAATTCAAGTGCTTTTAAATCTCTTATGAGATTTGGTTTCATGCTTGAAACCTATACACTGTTATGCCCAGTAGCATTTGTTGAAAATTCTAAGCTATAAGGTATACAACATAGAGAAGTTAATACACTTAGGAAAAAATTGAGACCACTACAAAATCGATTTAAGGTCCCGAATAAAAAGCTTTTCTTGTGCTGAATGACAGCTATTTACTGGTGGCATTAAGCTTAACAAGTAAGTAGAATTTTCTTAGTAGTGAATATTACAAGATGATGCCCCTGTATACACAGTAGGATGCCAGTCTTTCCTTCAGGTGGCACTTAACTTTTTTCTTCCAGTTGTAAAACATTTTGCAGTTCTATGCAAATTCTGTGCTAATTAGTTTAAAGTCTGAATTATAGATAGAATGTAATCTAAGAGTATATAGTGTTGAGTAGTATTTTTGGTAGGGTATGGCATTAGTTATTTTGTAGGTCATTTCTGTCTCCTACAAACTTTTCAATATTATGCACATTTTAAAATCTTTCTGGCTGAGCACAGTGACTCATGCCAGTAATCCCAGCACTTTGGGAGTCTAATACGGATGGATTGGTTGTACTCAGGAGTTCAAGACCAGCCTAAGCAATATGGTGAAACCCTGTCTCTACAAAAAGTACAAAAATTAGCCGGATGTGATGGCATGTGCCTGTAGTCTGAGCTACACAGGAGATTGAGGTGGGAGGAGTCACTTTAGCCAGCCATGATCATGCCACTGCTCTCCAGCCTCAGTTACAGAGTGAGACCCTGTCTCAAATAAAATAAAATCTTTCTTTTTTTTGGAGAGAGTGTCTCGCTTGTTTCCCATGCTGGAGTGAATGGTACAATCATGGTTCACTGCAGTTCCCGATATCCTGACTGGAATTGAAAGATCCTGCTACTTCAGCCTCCCAAGTAGTTAGGACTACAAGCACAAGCCACCATGCCCAGTAAATTTATGTTTCGTAGAGATGGAATCTTTCTTATGTTTACCAGGCTGGTAACTCTTGGCCTCAAGCAATCCTCCCTCTTCAGCTTCCCAAAGTGCTAGGATTACAGGCATGAGCCACCGTGCCCAGCCTAAAATCTATTCTTAATGATAAAATACTGGTCTGATATCAGTATTAGTCTTTAGTCATACCACTCCTAATAATCTTTAGTCATAAACCATTTTTTAATTTTTTTTGGATTTGGTAACATATTTTTTCTTTTTCTTTTCTTTTTTTTTTTGTTTTTGTTTTTGTTTTTGTTTTGAGTCAGTCTCTTACTCTGTTGCCCAGGTACAATGATTGTACAATGGTACAATCTTCGGCTCACTGCAACCTCCACCTCCCAGGTTCAAGGAATTCTCCTGCCTCAGCCTCTTGAGTAGCTGGGATTATAGGTGCCCACCACCACACCTGGCTAATTTTTATATTTTTAGTAGAGACAGGGTTTCACCATATTGACCAGGCTGGTCTCAAATTCCTGAACTCATGATCCGCTTGCCTTGGCTTCCCAAAGTGCTGAGATTACAGGCAGAAGCCACTGTGCCCAGCGTAGCATATTTTTCTTTAAAGGGGATCCAGTAAAAGATAATAGAAATCTTTCTTGTTACTTTTTCAAATTTAGAAGTTGACTGAAGTGGCAACAAGTAGTCTTTGCAATCTTATAGAGAACAAAGTCTCCAGAAATTTTCTTACATTCCAGTGTAACCTCAAAGTACTGAGTGTTACTTGTTTTCATTTCTAAAACTTGCCCTCTGCCTTTAAAGTTCTGGGTTTATGAGCCTGATCTGTCTAGTATGAGTTAACTTCCTACTAGCAGTAAGGGCACAGACATTGCATGCAGCGCTTTGCCTGCTCTTTTTGTCATTTTTTAGAAGGTTATTAAGAATAATGTTTTATGTGTGCCTTTTATTATGCAAGATCTAATCTACTTCTCATAACAAAAGATTTTGTTTTCATTTAAAAGTAGGTAAGTGAGTCAGCACAGTGTCAAGACCCTGCAGTCCCAGCTACTCGGCAGGCTAAGGTGAAAGGATTGCTGGAGCCTTGGAGTTTAAATCCAGCCTGGGCAATGTAATGGCACTGTGCTCTGGGGGAAGAAAAAGAATTTCTACATCAATAGGCAGTGATAGGCATTGAGACATAAGTTGGGGTTTTGCTATAATAAATGAGCACCAAGAAAATAAAATTTTAGAAATTAAAAGGTGTAAGGTATCTTTCCACTATGAGGACTATTTGCTGAGGTACTAGCTAAGCTGGAGGATAGTCAAGAGCTAGCCTTTTTTCACCCCTGCTTAGTTGACATTTTTAAAGCTCACTTTAATAATTTTAAAATGACCTACATTTATGCAAATAACCTCAGGCAGAAAGACATCCAAAAGCCTGCAGGCAAAAGGTACATTTTAAAAGTTATATTCTTGTGTAAATAACATACTTCTAAAGAACTACTGGGCCAGGCAGTGGCTCAGGCCTGTAAGCCTAGCACTTTGGGAGGCCAAGGCTGGTGGATCACTTGAGGTCAGGAGTTTGAGACCAGCCTGGACAACTTGGTGAAACCCCGCCTCTACAAAAAATACAAAAAAATTAGCCAGGCGTGGTGGCGGGTACCTGTAATCCCACTTACTTAGGAGGCTGAGGCAGGAGAATCACTTGAACCCAGGAGGCAGAGGTTGCAGTGAGCTGAAATAGCACCACTGCACTCCAGTCTGGGTGACAGAGCAAGACTCTGTCTCAAAAAAAAAGAACTAGCAAAGTTTTATTTTGTTATGGATAAAAGGTCATCTTTAAATGTCTTGATTTTAGTTGGGCACAGTGGCTCACACCTGTAATCCCAGCATGTTGGGAGGCCAAGGCGGGTGGTCAGGAATTCAAGACCAACCTGGCCAACATGGTGAAATCCCGTCTCTACAAAAAGATAAAAATTAACTGGGCATGATGGCGGGTGCCTATATTCCCAGCTACTCTAGAGGCTGCGGCAGAAAGATCACTTAAACCCAGAAGGAGGAGGTTGCAGTGAGCTGAGATCATGCTATTGCTCTCCAGCCTGGGTGACAAAGCGAAACTCTGTCTAAAAAAAAAAAAAGTTCCGATTTCTTTTGTTAAGGGAACCAAGCTTGCCATGTCATCAAGTTGCGAGCCTAGATCCCCCATCGCCCCATTATTTTGAATTTTCCATAATGTGCTCAATTTAGGAGTAACTTTTTTTGTTTCAGACAAATCTTCCTATTTTCAAGCTGAAAGAATCTACTGTTAGAAGAAGATACAGTGACTTTGAATGGCTGCGAAGTGAATTAGAAAGAGAGAGCAAGGTAAGAATGATTTGTAATGCAACTTGAAAGCAAACCATTCCAAGTTTTAATGCTTAATACTTCTCAGGAAAGTGATCTTGAATAAAATGGGTACAAGCAAATATGATTTTTAAAAAATAGTTCGATGTCATTTTATATAGGAAGACTGTAATTTTTTCCTTACAACTCTTTCTCTTGTCTACTTTGGCCCAGTCAGGGTCTTTGCTGACTCACGCTTGAATAACACTTCTTAGAACCTTCTTGCTATTACTTCCTTCCTTTCCCTCATCGTTCTATTTCATCTTCCCGTCTCCACACACGTTGCCAAGTTTCTCTTCCTCAATACATTTTATAAATGTCAGTGTATTTCCAATTTTGTTTTACTGACACTTTTTTTTTTTTTTTGAGGCGGAGTTTCGCTCTTGTTACCCAGGCTGGAGTGCAATGGCGCAATCTCGGCTCACCGCAACCTCCGCCTCCTGGGTTCAGGCAATTCTCCTGCCTCAGCCTCCTGAGTAGCTGGGATTACAGGCACGTGCCACCATGCCCAGCTAATTTTTTGTATTTTTGGTAGAGACGGGGTTTCACCATGTTGACCAGGATGGTCTCAATCTCTTGACCTCGTGATCCACCCGCCTCGGCCTCCCAAAGTGCTGGGATTACAGGCGTGAGCCACCGCGCCCAGCCAAGTTTTTTTTTTTAATCACACATATGTTTATGTAACTTAGGTTTCATAAAACAGTAATGACCTCACTGTTTGATATGTGCTGATATTCTTCAGATTAGCATTTATTGATCCACTAATTGGTTGCTGACTGCAATTTTAAAACATTGTTACATGCCTCATCTCTTGGAAGAGAATTTGGTAGCTTTGGCTTCAAAATAAATTAAAGCAAGGTCTCACTCTGATGTCTCTCATTTCAGCCCTACCCTCAGAATGACATCTGAGGCAAGGAGTCATGGAAAGGCATAGAGTGCTCAGAATGATGAAAAGTTATTTTGTGACTAGAAAGTAGGTAGAAAGAAGTGGGTATGGTAGGAGTCCTGAACTAGATGAAGGCTAGTTTGTACTTATCTCTCAAGTTTAATAAGGACGTTTTCCTTCTATTTCTAGCTTAAGATAAAAGTGGCTGGATATGAGCACAACATACGCAAATCATAGCATTCCAGCAAGACTGTAATGGAGGCTAGGCATGGTGGCTCATGCCTGTAATCCCAGTATTTTGGTAGGCTGAGGCAGGAGAACCTCTTGAGCCCAGGAGTTCAAGACCAGCCTGGGCAACATAATGAGGCCCCATCTCTTCCAAAATGTTTAAATATGAATAAAACTAGAAATACAAAATTCATATTAAGAAAGCTCTAAAACTTTACTGAAAGACAAAAGAAGACCTAAATAAAGAGGGACCAGGTGCAGTGGCTTACATCTATAATCGCAGCACTTTGGGAGGCCAGCACGGGTGGATCACTTGAGCCCAGGAGTTCGAGACCACCCTGGGCAACATGCGAAACTCAGTCACTAACAAAAATACAAAAATTAGCCAGGCATGGTGACACGCACCTATAGCCTCAGCACTCAGGAGGCTGAGGCAAGAAGATCACTTGAGCTTAGGAGGCATTGAGCTACAGTGTCGCCACCGGACTCCAGCATGGACACCAGAACCAGACCCTGTCTCAAAAAAAAAAAAAATGGTAATACTCTATTCCTTGTCTGGAATATTTTTGCTTTTAAAGATTCGTTTATTTTACAGACATTTTAGAGAGCTCATTCTTTGTGTTCTAGGTGTTATAGGTGGAGCTGTGAACAAATTAAGGTCCCCTCTTTTACAGTGCTTATATCCTATTAGGTAAATTGGAGTGGGGGTTGAAGAGAAGGCAGGAGAAATATAGTAAAATATATAGATGTTAGATGGGAAGCTCTAAAAAAAAATTAAGGGGAGTAGGAAGTGCCAGAGGAGCCACTCTCATAGAGAGCACAAGGGGGAAGACCTCACTCATAGGTGACATATTAGTAGAGACATGCATGAAGTAGAGAGTATTTTCTAACTTATTTATAAATTCATAAGTTTCTAGTAGAAATTTCAGTAGAGCTGTCTATAAACTTGCAGATTTATATATGAGCTTTAGAATCAGAATTTTAAAAATTTAGGTCACTCAAGAATGACCAAAAAAAGTATATAGTGGGCAGCAGGTATTTGTCATGCCAGACATCAAAACATGTCTTAAGGCTATAGTAATTCAAACAGTGTGGTATAGTCATGTGGCACTTACTGATGAGAATACATTCTAAGAAATGCATCCTTAGGCGATTTCATTGTTTGTGCAAACATCACGGAGTGTACTCACACAAACCCAGGTGGTGTAATCCACTACACACCTAGGCTATATGGTATGCCTGTTGCTCCTAGACTACAAGCCTATCCAGCATGTTACTGTACTGAATGCTATAGGCAGTTTAACACAGTGGGAAACATTTGTGCATCTAAACATAGAAAAGATACGGTAAAAAGTACAGTGTGGAAGATTTTTTAAATGGTACAACTGTATAGGGCACTTACCGTAAATGGAGCTTGCAGGATTAGAAGTTCTTCTGGATGAGTCAGTGAGCACGTGGTGAGTGAATGTGAATGAAAACATAAATAACACTCAGTACTTTGAGGTTATACTGGAATATAAGAAAATTTATGTAGGCCTAGGCTATTATGTGAATTTCTGACTTAATTTTTAACAAAGTTAAAAAAAATTAAACAGAGAAAAGCTTAAAGAGTAAGAATATAAGGAACATATTTTTGTGTAGCTGTTCAATATGTTTGTGTTTTAAGCTAAGTGTTATTACAAGAGTCAAAAAGTTAAATAAAAAGTTTAAAAACCTAAGGTTAATTTATTTTTGAAGGAAAATATTTTATAAATTTATAAATTATAAATTTCAGTGTAATGTGAATAAAGCCTACAGTAATAAACAATAATATCCTAGGTCAAGACATCTCTAGGCGATAGGAATTTTTCACCGCCATTATAATCTTATGGCACCATCATTATTATCTCATGTGGTTCATCTCTGATGAAAACACTGTTATGCCGTATATATTGCTTTAGGTTGGGCAAATGGATTAGTGGAATGTAATAGAGTTTAGACTTTGACCCATGTATTTATAGGGATTTTAGTTCATAACAAAAATAACATTGTCATTAAGTGGGAAGGGAATTTAGCAAATGGAATTGAAATATTTGTCTATTAGGGAATAAAGATTTATAACTCACTATATACAAACGACAGATGGTTAGGAAATTGACTGATTGATAATTGATTGACAGAGTCTTGCTCTGTTGCCCAGGTTGGAATACAGTGGCATGTCATAGCATACTATAACATCCTCCAACTCCTGGTCTCAGGTGATTCTCCTGCCTCAGCGTCCCAAGTAGCTGGAATTACAGGCATGAGCCACTGAGTCCAGCTAATTTTTAAAATTTTTTTATAAGTATGGGGTTTTACTATGTTGCCCAGGCTGGTCTTGAACTCCTGGACTCAAGTAATCCTCCTGCCTTGGCCTCCCAAAGTACCAGGTGTGGTGGCACACCATGAGCCTGTAGAGTCCCAGCTAATTCAGGAGGCTGATGGAGGAGGATCACCTGAGTCTAGGGAAGTTGTGACTGCAGTGAGCCATGATCATATCATGGCACTCCAGCCTGGGAAACAGAGCAAGACCCTGTCTCAAGAAAGAAAATGCACAAGAAAGCGCGCCAATACAAAAATAGTATCAAAACAAGTATATTAAGCTCCAGAATAACCTTTTTCTTTTCTTTTCTTTTCTTTTTTTTTTTTTTTTTTTTTTTTTTGAGACGGAGTCTGGCTCTTATTGCCTAGGCTGGAGTGCAACAGTGCAGTCTTGGCTCACTGCAAGCTCCGTCTCCTGGGTTCAAGAGATTCTCCTGCCTCAGCCTCTCAAGTAGCTAGAATTACAAGCATATGCCACCATACCCCCCTAATTTTGTATTTTTTAGTAGAGATGGGGTTTCACCATGTTGGTCAGTCTGGTCTCAAACTTCCAACCTCAGGTGATCTGCCTGCCTTGGCCTCCCAAAGTGTTGGGATTACAGACATGAGCCACTTCGCCCGGCCAGAATAACATTTTTAAAAATTTATTTTATTTTTTGAAGACGAGATCTCGCTGTCAGATACTTTTAGTTTGTTTAAATGATATGAAATGTTATCATTTCATTTAAACTTTTTTATTGGCTGGAGTGCAGCAATGTGCTCTTAGCTCACTGCAGTCCCAAACTCCTGGACTCAAGCCATCCTCCCACATCCGCCTCCTAAGTAGCTGGGACTACAAGATCACACCACCACACCCAGCTAAGTTTTTTTATTTTTGTAAACATGTACCCAGGCTTGTGTTGAACTCCTGGCATCAAGCAGTCCCCCCGCCTGCCTCGGCCTCCCAGAATATGGGGATTACAGTTGTGAGCCACTGTACCTAGCCCAGAATAATATTTGAGCTCCAGTTAATTCCCAGAAGGGAGAGATCAGCAGGAGTTGACCCTTGGTTAGGCTTGAAAGGGACAATTTGGGATCTTCCTATAGTGTGGGAAGGAAGAAACAGGAAGTCTTTGGGAAAAGACGGCAGGATAGGGCATTTGGGAGAAAGTTGACTTATTTCTCAATTTAGGAAACAGAAGAGTGACAACTAGAGTTATTGATATTTTGTCTTCACCTCAAACACAAGTAGGAAAGGCTACATGCAGATGGTAAGAGGTTGAAGAAACCAGAATTCTTATCGAACCATGGTGCAGTGAGAACATTGTTAACATTTCTTCATTTAATTGAGAGTTGATTTTGATCTCTGCAGTGTGCATTGCAATAAGGCATTGTCTTCTCCAAGTGGCATCACAAGTGTCTGAGGGGCATGGTAACCTTTATTTCAGTATTGGGAGTGTTCTCTTTGTATACCTGTGCTTTGATAAGGCCGAGAAAAATGATATAAACTGTGGGTCCTGCCTTTGAGTTGAGGAGCTTTTGTCTGATGGTCTATTCTGCATTTGTCTTCAAAACATTTGGTCTTTTTTCAGTGTATTTTTTGCTCTTTTATATTTAAAATAGTTTGACCGGGTAATGGCTTTTATAGTGAGAACATGCTTTGTCTTCATGTTGTGCTCTATAAATTTTCACAACCCGGGCAGCATGATCAAGAACTTTCTGTCTTCATGTTTTAGGTTGTAGTCCCCCCGCTCCCTGGGAAAGCGTTTTTGCGTCAGCTTCCTTTTAGAGGCGATGATGGAATATTTGATGACAATTTTATTGAGGAAAGAAAACAAGGGCTGGAGCAGTTTATAAACAAGTAAGTGCTTCCCATTCCTCAAAGTGTAGGAGTGAAGTATGTTTTGAGACTACTTTAAGTGACTGCTGTAGTTTAGATGTTAAGCTAAACTGCACTGTTGCCTTTTCTTTTAGCCATTTCCTGACTTTTCGTATCATTTAAACAAAGTAAAAGTATCTGACAAGTTGAGTATCATGTGATAAATATTAACACTCTTGAGTGATTGAAATGAACATCTTTGTGTTGACCTAAGTTTTGTATTTGTTTTTCTTGGTTAATTTATGCAAATTACATTTAAAATTACAGCATTTAAAAAACACAGTTTTACTTATGATTCTGATTTACAGTATGTTCTAGCATGAACAATAAAACTTACAATATATTTGCAATCATCTTGTTTGATTGCAGTTGGAGATATTATCAGCATGTCTTGTATAAAGGTGCATTTTTTTTTTTTTTTTTTTTTGAGATGGAGTTTTGCTCTTGTTACCCAGGCTGGAGTGCAATGGCGCGATCTCGGCTCACCGCAACCTCCACCTCCTGGGCTGAGGCAATTCTCCTGCCTCAGCCTCCTGAGTAGCTGGGATTACAGGCACGTGCCACCATGCCCAGCTAATTTTTTGCACTTTTAGTAGAGACGGGGTTTCACCATGTTGACCAGGATGGTCTCAATCTCTCGACCTCGTGATCCACCCGCCTCGGCCTCCCAAAGTGCTGGGATTACAGGCTTGAGCCACCGCGCCCGGCGCATGTTTTAAATTCTCATGGTAAAATGTATTCTTTTGAAAATGTTGAGAAGACTTAGGATTGTTTCTCTTTTACTTTAGAAACTCTTGATAAGCTCAAACCAGTATTTTTAGCTTTTCATTTTATTCCCATTTGAAATGCTATTTTCTAAAGTAATAGAAAGCCAAAGTGATACAAAGATTTATGCCAAGAAAGACTTCACTGTAATTGTGCATTGGCCTTAAGCTAGAAGAAGTAAACCAAATCCTACAGGATATGGTAATATGAGCTTACACTTTAAATTTTATCTAGTGATTTGAAGATTCATGAGTGGTAAACAGAAGAGAAAGGGTTACATAGAGCCCTTGATTATCTACTGTAGTACTCAGTCTTTATTGTCTATGGACTTGTTTTCCTTTTGGAAAAGGCAGTACTATATTAGATTTTTTTTTTTTTTTTTTGAGACAAAGTCTTGCTCTGTCGCCCAGGCTGGAGTGCAGTGGCTCAATCTCCGCCTCCCAGGTTCAAGTGATTCTTGTGCCTCAGCCACTTGAGTAGTTGGGATTACAGGTGCACACCATCATGTCTGGGTTATTTTTGTGTATTTAGTAGAGACAGGGTTTTGCCATGTTGGCCAGGCTAATCTTGAACTCCTGAACTCAAGTGATCTGTCTGCCTTGGTCTCTCAAAGTGCTGGGATTACAAATATGAGCCACCCTGCCTGGCCTATATTAGATGGTTTTTAATTCTCAAATAGGAGTCTGGTAGCCCAGTCTGGGTTTAAGCAGGCAGAAACAAACAAAATACGTGGATATTTGTGCCTGTTTTTTTTTGTTTTTTTTGTTTTTTTTGTTTTTTTTTTTTGAGACGGAGTTTCGCTCTTGTTACCCAGGCGGGAGTGCAATGGCGCGATCTCGGCTCACCGCAACCTCCGCCTCCTGGGTTCAGGCAATTCTCCTGCCTCAGCCTCCTGAGTAGCTGGGATTACAGGCACGTGCCACCATGCCCAGCTAATTTTTTTGCACTTTTAGTAGAGACGGGGTTTCACCATGTTGACCAGGATGGTCTCGATCTCTCGACCTTGTGATCCACCCGCCTTGGCCTCCCAAAGTGCTGGGATTACAGGCTTGAGCCACCGCGCCCGGCGCCTGTTTTTTTTTTTTTTTTAAATTATTTGGGACTTTTGTTGAACTTCATTGTATTTCTAACACCAATCCTGTATCTTCTCTTTAAAATAGATTCTGTTCAGGTGCAGTGGCTCACGCCTGTAATCTCAACACTTTGGGAGGCCAAAGCAAGCAGATCACTTGAGGTCAGGAGTTCCAAGATCAGCCTGGCCAACATGGCAAAACCCTTTCTCTACTAAAAATACAAAAAGTAGTGAGTGGGGTTTGGTGGTGCGCACCTGTAGTCAGCTACTCAGGAGGCTGAGGCAGGAGAAGCACTTGAACCTGGGATGCAGAGGTTGCAGTGAGCTGAGATCACACCACTGCACTCCAGCCTGGGTGACAGAGCAACACTTTGTCTCAAAAAAAAAAAAAAAAAGGATTATTAGGATCCATTGACATGTTTCACTTTTAACGTTAAAATTCACTTAAGTTTCTTATGAAAACACCAGCTAATATGTAAAGAAGCTAACTGGGTACATGTGCCACAAGCAGTGAAAAGTTTGGATTAATGTTTTTTAAATTACAGTTGTGAACCAAACAAAAGAACACATGCCATTAGTTGATAGTGCATAGCTTTATGGACAGCCCAGAATGATACTTATTAGTAAATTATACATGCTTCTTGGCTGGGCATGGTGGGTCATGCCTATAATCTCAGCACTTTGGGTGGCTGAGGTGGGCTGATTACTTGAGGTCAGAGGTTTGAGACCAGCCTGACCAACATGGTGAAATCCCATCTCCAGTAAAAAGATAAAAATTAGCTGGGCATGGTGGCATACACCTGTAGTCCCGGCAACTTGGGGGGCTGAGGCACCAAATCACTTGAACCTGGGAGGCAGAGGTTGCTGTGGGCCAAGATCAGCCACTGCATTCCAGCCTCGGTGACAGAGCGAGACTCCATCTCAAAAATAATAATAACATGCTTGTTTTGCTCTTGTTGCCCAGGCTGGTGTGCAGTAGCACGATCTCAGCTCATAGCAACCTGTTTTAAGCTCCAGAATAACCTTTTTTGAAATGGAGTCTGGCTCTTGTTGCCTAGGCTGGAGTGCAACGGTGCAATCTTGGCTCACTGCATGCTCTGTCTCTTGGGTTCAAGTGACTCTCCTGCCTCAGCCTCCCAAGTAGCTGGGATTACAGGCATGAGCCACCACACCTGGCTAATTTTGTATTTTTAGTAGAGACAGGGTTTTTCCATGTTGGTCAGACTGGTCTCAAACTCCCAACCTCAGTTGATCCACCTGTCTTGGCCTTCCTATAGTGCTGGGATTACAGGCATGAGCCACCTCGCCCAGCCTATACATGCTTTTTAACCTTAAAATGTATGTTTTGAACTCCTCTCCTTGTATAAAATGTTGGACTAAATTTATATTTTTTATTCTCAGGGTTGCTGGTCATCCTCTGGCACAGAATGAACGTTGTCTTCACATGTTTTTACAAGATGAAATAATAGATAAAAGCTATACGCCATCTAAAATAAGACATGCCTGAAATTTGGCAAGAAGGGGCAAAAACGTGACTATTAATGATTGATATGCACCAGTGAAGAAGTTCTAACTTTTAGCATGCTGCTCAGAAACTGGTATAACATGCCTTCAGTATACTAACACTCATGCTCGGTTTTGTTTTGGCAGTTGACAAGAAGTTAATTTGCTTTAGTGAAAATCCCTCATTCCAGCCTTTCTATATGAATAGCTCTTTCTTGCTGTTTTAATGTGGTGCACACTATAGCCTCACAAACCTGTTATTCCAATGTAATCTGCAGTGTCCTAACTAAAGTTGCTGGCTTGGTCTTATTTGCACAGTTTTTGTGTCTTCTTTGCTTCTTGCATTTGATTAACTAGAATATTTCTCTTTCCCCCTTTTAATGTGTCTGTGTCACTTGACCTAATTTATGTGTAGGAGCACTACACCATTGGTTTCCAATACTGCACACATAAGATACATACTTGTGTGCAGAAAGTATCTTCCTTCAGGCTTGTAATACCCTTCACATGGAAGATTAATGAGGGAAATCTTTATATTCTGTATAAAAACAAAATCAAATTTATATACTAAAACCATTTGTCTAAAAATTTAAGTTGTTTTCAAATAAAAATTAAAATGCATTTCTGATATGCACTGATTGTGTTGCCTCCAGCTTTTCTTTGCTCTCTCTGAGTGACTACTTAAGTCACTTGTTGAGACGGATTATTTACTGATTATATACTTCTCATTCCTGTAACTCCATTCCCTTTAAACAGTGGTGATATCAAATATACCTCCACCCATTGAATGGGGTATTTTCAACAACAATAAAAATGATGTGCTAAAAAATATATTCCTTAAGGCTTACTGAATCATTTTGAAGCACTTTTTATATTTGAAAAATGCTTTATAATCTCAAGTCATTTATTAAAAGGACTTTTAAAGATAAGTCAATACCATTCCTCCTATTTTTCAAAAGAATTTTTTTTCCTAGTTAAACTGAGTGACTTGTTTAAACAAACTTAGCAAGGGTATAATAACTCTCCTTAGTCAGCAGCTTTGTGCTTTTTCTTTAATTTGGTTTGGGGTAGTAGGCACACTTTATCCTCTTTAAAAGAAGGGCACAATCTTCTAGCCTGACCTGTAAAAATGATAAGAGACCATGACTTCTTGCTGCCTAACTTGTAGTCATAGACCTTTCAGCCAGAATGTGGTTTCTGGTTGGAGTCTATACAACTTCTGCTGGTTTGGGGATCCATTGTGACTTGGAGTTAAATCCCAAGATAAAGAAATTTGTTCCTCCTACAGCAGAGGCGCTCCTCTGAAGATGAATCAGTCCATTTAAAAGGAAACATGCTTAGATCTTGGCCAAACTAGGATGTCCACGAAGCAGATGGAAGTCACAGGAAGAAGTCATACTTGCCCCTCAGGCCTTCTGTTGCTCAAACTATTTCACAGTCCCCTAATACTGGACGTTTCAGTCACTGTAAAGTAAGGTATGAAGCTAAACAAAATAAATTTTATTTCAGTGAACTAGAGAATTAGTAAAGTCAAAGGCTGTCAGTTTTGGGCATGCAGAACAGAATAATGGTAGCTCTGCAAAACCAAATAATTCCTCTAAAGCAGTGGTTCTCAGTAAGGCACAGTGGCTCGTGCCTATAGTGCCAGCACTTTGGGAGGCCAAGGCAGGAGGATTGCTTGAGGCCAGGAGTTTTGAGAGCAGCCTGGATAACATAGTGAGACCATGTCTCTATAAAGAGTTTAAAAGTTAGCTGGGCATGGTGGTGTGTGCCTATGATCCCAGCTACTTGGTTGGCTTGGTGGAAATATATCATGAGCCCTGGATTTTGAGGCTGCAGTGAGCCAAGATCATGCCATTTCTTTCTAGCCTGGGCAACAGAGTGAGACTCCATCTCAAAAGAAATTTTTTTTTCTGTTAAATATTAAAATAAAGCAGTGGTTCTCAGCCAGGGATGATTTGTTCCTCAGGGGATGTTTGGCAATTCTGAAGATATTTTTGGTTGTCTCAACTGGGGAATGTTACTGGAATCTGACAGATGGAGGTCAGAGACGCTGCTAAGTCTTACAGTGAACAAGCTAGCCTCCCACAACAGAAAAATGTCAGTAGTGTCAAGGTTTCCACTCACCATGGAGTCTTCATTTTGATCACTTACAAACAAGCAATAGTGTGGTTTAGGAGGAGTTGTACCGTCTGCCCACTTTTAACCGCTACCACAATTTCCTGAGGGCAGGCATGCTCTTGAGAAGTCAACGGTTTTAAAGTAGCAAAAAGTTTATTTCAGCTAACATGTTTTTGCCTAATGTAGGAAGGCAGTTTTCAGTGTTGTCTCTTAGGAAATTGAGACCTTGGTTTATAGTAAAACTATACCTTTAACCTGCTGAAGTAAAAATGCAGGTGCTCTCTTAATTCTAACTACATAGGGGAGAGGGTTTTAGAACCACTTAAGAGTCTTCCTAAAAAAAAAAAAAAAAAAAAAAAAAAAAAAGTCGGGCGCGGTGGCTCAAGCCTGTAATCCCAGCACTTTGGGAGGCCGAGGCGGGTGGATCACGAGGTCGAGAGATCGAGACCATCCTGGTCAACATGGTGAAACCCCGTCTCTACTAAAAATACAAAAAACTAGCTGGGCGTGGTGGCACGTGCCTGTAATCCCAGCTACTCAGGAGGCTGAGGCAGGAGAATTGCCTGAGCCCAGGAGGCGGAGGTTGCGGTGAGCCGAGATTGCGCCATTGCACTCCAGCCTGGGTAATGAGCGAAACTCCGTCTCAAAAAAAAAAAAAAAAAATTAATTTGGCAGTGAGTTACAAAGCAATAAATAGATGGGTAATTCTAAGTAATCTCCGGCTCTGTGTCCATTATTTAAGTATTTCATTGCCTTGTCTCAAGTCGTGCCAGTTATAAAGGGTCAATATCAGTGGTAACTTTGGTAACTTACATTGAGGATTATATGTAAAATTCATAGAACAGTGTCAGAACATATAAAAGCATAGTAATAGTTATCAGTTGGCAGTGGTAGTCATAGATACAATGTTAGTAGTAGCAAAATGGTACCACGCATACTCATTTGCAATGGCAGTTCCTGAATAGGTTTATCTGGTATTTGGTTTCCTACCGGTAGTGATTATTACTTGGGGGTAAGGGTGTTAGGGGAGGAGAAGCATCTGCTTTTTATTATATCCCATGGTTTTTCCACTCAGCCGTCTTTGCTAGGAGGCTACCCTAGATGAAAAGTGTCCTGTTGCCTCCGCTTGCTTTGCCTTTTTTGGTTACACGAGTGGGATGAATATGTCCAATGAAAGAATAAGGCTGTGGCCCCCAGGCCTTTTTAGATAAAATGTGTTTGAGATATGGATGGACAGAGAGTTTAGCCCACTGCCTGGCATATAAATTAATGGTCATGGGTGCCAGCTGCTATTATTAATATGCCAGTGTTTAGGCTAGGAAAAGAGTTAAAACTGTTTTAGGATAGAATAAGTTTGTAATAATTCCACTATGATCTTCGTCATAGAACTTCCCTGTGAAGTAAATAATGTTATTTTTACAACTGAGAAGACTGGGTTTTGAAAGCTTGAGTAAACTTTTCAAAGTTAGCCAGGACAGGATGGTACCATACAGACGTGTGAGTCTAAAGGCCATGACTTGGTATACTTCTTGTGGACAGGACCTATGACTTTTTTCTTTTTTTTTTGAGATGGAGTCCTGCTGTGTTGTCCAGGCTGGAGTGCAGTGGTGAGATCTTGGCTCACTGCAATCTCTGCCTCCTGAGTTCAAGCAGTTCTTCTGCCTCAGTCTCCCAAGTAGCTGGGATTACAGGCATGTACCACCATGCCCAGCTTATTTTGTATTTTGCTAGGAGAGACAGGGTTTCACCATGTTGGTCAGGCTGGTCTCGAACTCCTGACCTCAAGTGTTCCACCCACCTTGGCCTCCCAAAGTGCTGGGATTATAGGCGTGAGCCTCCACACCCAGCCCAGCCTATGACTTTCAGGACAGTTAGTGAATGAGTGAAACGGTGAATGTTAAGAAACAATTCCTATATCCTTTGTTATCAATGGATAGGTTTGGTTTGGTTGGTTTTTCTAATATTATTTTGCCTTTGTCTCCCTAGTATGTTTTTTAGTTTTGATTCTAAGTTCAGGTGCAAGTAGCTCTTTTGGACATGAACAGAAGTATTGTATTTTCCTAAATATAGCTGCCCACCTCAATTACTCTCTTAGGACCGAGTTTAGGATTTTCGTTTTCAACGCTTCCAAAGTAATTCTGAACTGTCAGGTTTGGTCATTTAGCCTGGAGGTCCTGTGATTTCCTTGGTCAGATCTGATATACCTGTTTACTGAAGTCATTACTAAAAGAAATCAGGAAACTAAAGGCCAGGCACAGTAGCTCACACCTGTAATCCCAGCGCTTTGGGAGGCTGAGGTGGGCGGATCATGAGGTCAGGAGTTCAAGACCGTCCTGGCCAACATGGTGAAACCCTGTCTCTACCAAAAAAAAAATACAAAAAATAGCCAGGTGTGGTGGCAGGTGCCTGTAGTCCCAACTACTGGGGAGGCTGAGGCAGGAGAATCACCTGAACCTGGGAGGCGGAGGTTGCAGTGAGCCGACATCGTGCCACTGTACTCCAGTCAGGTGATAGAGTGAGACTCCATCTCAAAAAGAAATTGAGAAAGGACTTAGCAGATTTTGAGAAATTACTTTTTTACAGGAAGTGAATTTGCCTTATTCCAACTTTGCTAAGAAAATAAGACTGACTTAGAGGCCAGAGAAATTAATTTAAAAGCGCAAGGGAAGCTTAGAGGATGCTGGGCGACAGCACCTCATCCCAGATGCTCTTTACTGTAGAGAGTGCCAGAAATGAAAGTGACCCAGTGGACTCAACTAGCAGCACCAAGCACTTGATTGTGCAAAGTGCTAACAGACAGGAGAGGTCAAACACCAGCCCTTTCCTCAGACCCACTCGTGAAAAGACTCACTAAGAGGGACAGTAGTCATGGCAAATGTGAGGACAAGAAGAGACACAGCAGTTATGATGGATGGAAGGAAATGACCAAAGTGAAATAGAGAATTCTGGTTTAAACTTCTACAGGTAAAGAGCTTGAAAGTTGGCACCAAGCCTGGCATGGTGGTATGCACCTGTAATCCCAGCACTTTGGGAAGCTGAGGCAGGTAGATTACTCGAGTGCAGGAGTTCGAGACCAGCCTGGGCAACATGACAAAACCCAGTCTCTATAAAAATAACAAAAAAACTATCCAGGGATGGCGCACTCACCTTAGTCCCAGCTACTTGGGAGACTGAGGTGGAAGGATCACCTGAGCCTGGAGGTGGAAGGATCACCTGAGCCTGGGAGGATGGGGCTGCAGTGAACCATGATTGCACCACTGCACTCCAGCCTGGGTAACAGAGTGAGACTCTGTCTCAAAAGTTAAGCACCTTATCCTTACAACAAGAAAAAGCTGGACAAATGGAAAAGCAATGACTTTTCTTGGACCCATCAGAATTGAGGTTGAAGGGCAAACCACCAGCCCAAAATCTGGAGAAACAGGGCTATCTAGAGACAGCCAAAATCTGCTTATCTGGAGCAAAAGCTGCTGGAGCCATAAGGTAGTTAGAAACACTTAGATGGTAATGAATTACT